CCACTGGGCCTGGTATTTATGAAACAGCCCATTACTCTTTGATAATTGTCACCAATACTGTCATGCATTTGTCTACCCTGTCCTCAGCATTCACACGTGATATAAATTTAACTGTCACATCAATCAGAGGCCGCAATTAATTGTGCAATTAAGATTCTCATTGCGTGGCAGACACAGCTACTAATGGATCAGAGACAAGTGTGATACGATCATAAAGAGGGAATTTTAATGCAGTGCTTAATTGCTCTTATGTGGCCATCAGTGTTCCAGCTGAGGCTACATGAGACCATGTCTTCTCCAGGCCTATTGGAAATGAAATATGCTGCTCATGTAGGGCCATGGAGCGATGTAAGGGCAGTTACGGACAATCTTATTACACCACCCAAAGCATGTGTACTTAATCGGCGCCAGATTGCCGCGTACGATTTTTACACGGAGCGCATTAGCATGTTTAAAATATGCTCAGGATATGATTGGATATAAACTTCTGTACGAGTGTGGGAAGCAAAATAAGAAGCTGGGGCCACAGCAGTTGTTGCTGATGCAGCACCAACAACTGCTATTTTAAGGATAATTTGCACCACATGCTGGGTTCAGTATTTGCTCACCGGAAGAGATGTTGCAGATTTGCCCCAAATTTTCCAAACTCATCATTTTTATTTCTAATGACTAATACATACATACATACGTTCTGCTTTTGTTGTGGGTGTGTCTGGCACACAGTGAGAGTGGAGAATAAATGTGGAGGCTTTTAACTAGTAAACAGGTGGAGGAAGGAGCAATTCTTGTCATTTTTAATATCTGCTTTTCCTCGGTAAAACCTGGCTTCTGACTTGTTGTTACAAAGCTGGAAGATTAATCTCCACAATATGGAGCAAACAATGAATATAGCAAAAAGGACAATTGTTGCAAGCTGGGAGATTAATGCCAGCAGCATAAAACATCTATTGGATATGCCATGGTACAGTTTAGTGTTATGGATCTGTGTTAGAGTTTCACAGTGTGATGCTGCATATGAAAGTTTAACTGTTTGTGGGAGTCTGACATCAGAAGATCCTAACATTTGTTTATTTATTTGTTATAATATAAGCTTTATAACAGTTATGTCTAGATAAATTAATGACCAAACTTGAAGGTGTCAAAAGATAGCTTGAATATATGTGTTTTTTGCTCAGACTGCCTGAAAAACACAAAGGGTAAACCTACAACTTGAGGCTCAGTGAAAGAACACCTGCAAGAGATCAAATAATAATTAGCTGAATTAGACAAAAGGTAGGACAGTCATCTTTGCCGTTGGAGCCACTTCAATTATTCAACATGCACACCTAACAAAATCTTGGTGACAGAGAGTCAAAATAGCTTAGCTTTAGAATAGTAATATTATTTTTGCATTGAATGCATTGATCTGTAGCAATGGTGCTTTTAAGTGTAACCTGTCGTATTAATGCCACATAATTTTTAGCCTGACCCAAAAAGCCAATGTCTTTTATCGTCTGCTTCTGGTTGCTTCTTTCAAGCTGCATATCTTGCTACATATTTATCATTTAAATGTAAGGAATTTATGCAATAGTGTGGTGGGGGTATAAGTTAATAAACTCATTTGGATTCTATTCAACCTTATGGATGATGGATTCGATTTTGAAGAAGTTGATGAGATCAACGCTGAGTAAAGGTTAAAGCTTGCTAATATTATCGTATAGATTGTAATTTATCTGTATGAAAATATTTGTTGATATCCTTGGACTGCAGAGGGGAAAGTGACAGACCATAGAAACCACAAAGGGCAATGCCCTATTTTGCTCAATTACCATTTAACCTTTTCTTTTCCCTGAAAGTACATGTTTATTGAAAGCTATTGAGAGCTGTTGCTGTTGCCTCCAAAAGCATGTCAAAACACACTCTGACCGTGTTAATTAAGGATGCGATGCAAACATGCTGGGAGAATAAATTAATTCCTTAGGGAGACGGTGTAGTGAACGTGTAATGGAACAGCCAAACAAAAGGGGATGTGTGGGATTTATGACACCAACATCAAACATCAGTGGGAAAATGTCAACCACACAAAAAGGCCTGCTTTTTACTGCTGTCAACGCATCCGTCTGTGCGTGTGTGCTCATTTAGCTAATCTATTTAAGACCTTCTCTAGCATATTCACTAACTTTCTAAATACGGATATGGCGACCAAAGCCTGGCCTTAATGCGGCGGAATGCCTTCTGTGTTTGGTTAGGTCTACAGGTATGGTGTGAATTAAGTTTTGGTTAAGTTTGGGTTTAGGAATATACTGGCAATGGTGTCTGAGTGCATGCGTGTGTGTGTGCATAGTCTTGTATTTGATACATTGTAAGGCCCATCGTTCCAACAAACACCACGTTATGAGGACCCCCTGCTCCAAGGGTCCCATAAATAGAAGTGCTGCTTTTGGGTTAGGGGTTAATCTGAATTGAGTTTAGTACATTAAACTCAATTCAAACGGCACACTTGGATAACACCTGTACATCCTCATACATAAACATGTCCAAAATGACATTAAGCATATACTGGTAATGGTTAGTTTTGAGGTTAAGCTGTGGAAATGAGTAGAAAATGTATGGAAGTCAATAGAAAGTCCCTGTGAAGACAGAAAGACATACTGTGTGTGGGCGTGTGTGTGAGTGTGTATATCATTCAAACAGCAATTCAAAACATCATCAGCTTGTCACTGAGGCAATTGGATGAATGACAGCTACTAAATGTTCGTCTGTGTGCTTACATTCATGTGGATCTGAGCAACTGATGTGTAGAACATACACATGCAAACACACATTCATCTATCCGCAATTTCTGGGACAGGAGGTAATTACCCGCTATGCTTTTCTATCATGCTTTATTAGTAATTACTGTCACAGTCAAAACATCAAACTCCTTATAACATTTTTTTCTTTTTTTTTTACCAGAAAGAAGAAAAGAAGAAATTCTGTGATATTGGTACTGAAAAAAATATGACGGCTCTAAGTCAAAACAAATATTACATGAGTAAAAAAAAAAAAAAAAAACTTAATTTCAACAGAAAATGAGCCACTAAAAATTCATACTTACTGTCATGCTGGTCAAAATATTACCGATAAAAACATTTTCTGATAAGTGAACAAAATCCAGCCAACAATTTCTACTACATTACTAATGATTTGAAGCCACAGTTGCCACGGCATTTTAGTCACCCCTGCAGCATTTGTCAGGTACTGTGTCAAGAACCACTGCATAAATTAGCTTGGTCCATATAAATTTAAAGTAATATATGTTTTGGAAAGCAGCAGAGAAGACGCCATTAGGAACTGCTAAAAGACAGAGAATTTAACATTAGTAGCATATTGAATACGAATGAGACAATATGGATCTTTCTTCATAAAACAAAAGTGTGAAATGTATAGACTGGGCCTGCATTTCTTTAGTAAAATATGCCTCGAGTGTTCAGCAATGTACAGTTTTAACAGCTTCTTTGGCAGGGTTAAGAGCCTGGGTGCCAGGCTGAGGTTTATGGGAAGAAGTGAGGTTGGCATAAAGGGCTTCCTGGTGTGCTGAGGCGCTGTGAAGCCCACACCTGCTGTCAGAGACACTGAGAGCAGGCTGGACGAGGGCAGCAGCCCTGCCATCTGTTTCACGACAGCCAAAGTCACCCTGTGTGCAGGCGCTGGTGTCTGAGCACAAGTCTGTGAGTTTGTCTGTGTCTGTGTGTTTGCTTAATGTATGTGAATGTAATCAGAGCTGTATTTTTAGTGCAGACTAAAGTCTGTCTTTTACCATCAGCTTCTGGACTCTATTGTGTTCTGAGTTTACTCTCAGGAAAAAGATGCCACAGACTCTTTTAGTATTATTATTTTACATAACACATAAAAAAAGAAAAACATCCAGAACTTTTTTCTGTATCTACCATAAAGCAGGAGCATGTAGCTTTTATAAAACCTTTTTTTTTTCCACTTTTGTTAGAACTGTCCCTACGTCATGGCATAGTATGAGACAGATGATCTGTCTTCTTGCTCTGTCAGAAAATAAAACAATCAGAACCAGGAGGAGAATCTTTGTATGTACTGCGACTTTAAATGTACAAAACACAGCAGATTCTCCAGCGTCATTCTTTATAAAAAGGCAAAATTTTGATGCGATAACAAAGAGCACCTCATGATTTGATACCTTTTAGCACCAGTAACCTTCAGAAATAATCTTCAGTATGAATGTAGTGGACACAGTTTGGTTCACTATTCTTAAAAAACACTCCTATTAATTGTGTTCAAGGTTTGTGTGACATTTAAAGGTCCCAACACAGTTTGATAAATAACAAATAGAGTTGAATGTTGTGTGTTGTTGTAAGTTTGAGTTTAGGTTTAAAAACAATTGAAGCTGGTAAAGACCAAATTATGTTTATTATGTCCTAATGCGTAAAACTGAATGCAGGTGTACTTTCTTTTTAATAATGTCTGGGTCTTTATAGATCAGGAACTTTCCATTTCTCATCAAAACCGCAAAAAGTACCTATTCTATTTGTCTGCATTTTGGACTGAAATAATCTGTTATTTCAATGAGTATGCAATTTGGAAGCAGAAATGAGGACTGTTAAAAGATCCTAAAAAATGAGTGAAACTAGGCGTCCACAATACTTCTGAAAATCTCTAAAGAGAAAAATCTGTGAATAGAAAAAAAAAAGAAAATGCAGTAAAAAGCAATTTCAAGGCAGCCTGCACTTCATAAGTCATTATAGCAAAGTGAAAGAAGAGCTATTTCACTTGATTACGCTAAAAGAATTATACAAAGATTTCAACCATAAAACGTAAGGAAAAAAAAAACATATATCAGAGAGCATCAGTAAGAGTCAAAGTTGTACAAGTCCAGACAGAACATGGGATGCAAATTTGAGGTTTTAAATCCATTTACCAGCTGATTGGAGAGGACTGAACAAATCAGCACAGATATGCTGTATAAAATTTGTAATTAAAATCTGGTAAATAGAGTCCAGAACGGTACTGACCACTTCTCGTGGCAGAAGTGTGTCCTCCTGACGAAGCACCAACAGGTTCACCATCCCGTCCATGGGCGTGGCTCGAAGCAGGGCTACCACTTCCTCCTGGCTCTTTCCATTCAGGTCCACTCCACTAACCTGCACAACAACATGTTCTACAGTCACTAACACAACCCAGGCCTTACAAACACAGTAGGAACCTGAACCGTGGTGTTACTCAGATGATTTAGTCTAGCTGAAAATCTGAATATTGCTCTAACTGATGATATCGTAAAGAAAGCTGGAGTACAGCTGCTAAATCATGGAGAATGTGTTTTAACACTCCATGAACTCTACAAAAAGATTGGAGATTGGTTGAAAGCCCGGCTTTACCTCCAACAGCCGGTCTCCAGCTTTCAGTCGTCCATCTTGGATGGCAGCACCTCGAGGGAGAATGTTTTTTATGTAAATGGGAGCACTTCCTCCAATAGGGACGTCTCTGGAGGTGATACTGAATCCGAGACCCTCTGGACCTGGTCAGATAGAGAAAAAAATAACACAGAAACGTAATGAAAAACATGAAAACTGGACAATATGTTTTAGGGACACACTATATGTCGGCACTAATATAAGTATTGGTCAATATGACTTAATGGAAAGTACTCCAGTGCTTTTGTTTATCATTTTGTGTGTATGCTGTGGCTTCTCAAACCTTAAGTTGGTCATGGCAGATGGTTGTTCATAGGTCCTGCTGGAGGTTTCTTCCTGTTAAATGGAATATTTTTCTCTCCACTGTTGCCACATGCATGTTCAGTACAAGGGATTGCTCCACAGCCAACGACATAATGCAAGCAATTGTCCACTGTCGCTCAGTGTTCGTCCCAGAGAAATTAATAAAGCAAGTCAATGACGATTGCAATCTGCTAGGTTTCCTTAGATAGAAAACTTTCAACTGATTAAGATAATTAGCTGAACTTGATACATTGTAGAATCAATTTGAAATGTATGTAACTCGACTTGAAATCTATTGGTATGACTGAATAGATTCTTTTTTTTCTTTTTTTTTTGTAGAGTGCCTCAACATGTGTTATGATTTGACTCTGTATAACTCATAGCAATTGAATTGCTATGAGTTATACATATACATCCATAGTATAATACGAGTTATACATTTCAATCCATAGTATAATAAGAATGGAAAGTTCTTCTTCAGGTTTGTTGGAATCTTTGTTGCCTTGGTAAGAAAATAAAAAAAAAAAAAATTTGATTAAGTACTGATTAAATTTACTCAAGCCTTCTCAGTCTGGTAAAAGTTTAATAGGTGATCTGAATATTTAATTTTTACAGCAATGTGTGATCCATGAAAAGCCCGTTTCTTTAGGTTTACAGGTTAGCCTTTAAAATTTGTTAAACGTACATTCACATTTAGTCTGGCAAAAAGGGCAGACAAAGTACATAAAACCTCTCTCTGGTCTCAATTCAGTCTCAATCTTAATCAGTCAGTGTGATCAGAGAGACGGTTAGAAGTCCCTAAAGATCAACCTTGCTGTGTATTTCTGGCAGTCTGGTTGGCAAGTTGCGTTATGTTGGTTCAGTCGAGGCTTTTCAAACAGCAGTGATTAGTATTCATGTCAAACTAGCTGCTCATTTCACGGAGCTGTCAGCACCTCTGATAGTTCATCATGACCTACTTTCCCCCCCCTCATGTGTCTCTCCGGCAGTCTGTCGATCTGTCTGTCAGCCTGCTGACAGTGATGAGGTGATGAACAAGGAACACCAGGAGGAACAAACGAGGACGGCAACTTTCCTCCCGACTCCTTCACGCAAACAAACTTGCAGAAGGGTAAAGAGATTGCTTTTGGAGTGGGAAAGTTGAGCTGTTCAGGATAATGACGCTCTCTGATCTCTCCATCAGCGCCTCGTGATAACTGAGCGGACCGAAATAGCTGTCATTATTTATGTCGAGCATTAAATATGCAGTTTGTCTTCATGACTGCTCAACTTTTAATGCAAGGTCACATAGTTACTGTGAGAAGTTTGTCTCATTAGGGACATTTTTCAGCGCTTAAAAGTAAAGCAAATAAGTGCAGCTTTTGGTATTTTGGAACAAAAGGGTGACGTGGTTTCAAATATTTCATTCCATTGCTGGAGATATTATATGCATATCTTTACAGTGGAATGATTATATAGCAGACAGATTGTCATAAACAAGAAACAGCCAGAACGCTGGTGTCACCATGCAAAGCAGGTTGAACAAAGGATGTCTGTGTGTTTTTATTTTAAATTTAAACACTTGAGCCTCAGCCCTAGTCTACTCTCTTACTTGTTAGCTTAAACCTCCATCTCAATCCTGCCTTAAACTATTTTCTAAAAGGGGTCAAATTGAAAAAAATATATATATTAAAAAGGCTGACATTCTTGCTGTCAGTGAGTGTGTGGAAACTTCTTTCTTCTTTTCAAACTTCAACATGAAATTCTTTGTTGTGATTTCTTTATTCTAATCCTCCACGTTCCTACTTCCTGCCAGTCCAAGACGCAGCCTAATGAACAAAATCAAACTCCTCTCTCCGTCAGTAGATACTGTCATTAATGGACCAATCAGGCAATTAGGAGAATACATCACTAACAGGCCTTCAGTAATTAACCACTGGCGTCTTTATTTCTGGGTAACAGAAGACCAGGATAAAAGTAATTGTATCCCTTTCTAGATTAGTTAGAAATCCTGGCTCCAATAAGCCAATTAAACAGCAAACAGGAGGAGAGGCTGGGGGACATGACAACGACTTAATGGGCTGCGTATGTTGTTTTCAACAGAAGTATTTGATTAGGGCACTCTTGTTAATGTGCCATTCAAGATCTGCTCCTGCCACTTGGAACTCGGAGCCACTTAGGCCGAATCACAACAATTACATCGAGTCAACAACAAAACTGCCACGGCCCCCGTCTGAAAGCGCATTAGCAGAGAGAAAGTCTGATGGTAATTAAATGGAGATGTCAAAATGATTTCTGGGCATGTTTCTACAATTTTTCTGATACAATAACATGTTGGCTAGAATTTGTTTTTAGTTCCGCTTCTGGACGTGGCTGTGAGTTTACAGTGGAGGCAGTTCCATTCAGTGAAGTCCTGAATAAATAAACTATAATTTAGGCTTTGGATTTATAAAGTTGCTAAAGATAGACAGACCAGTGCTGTTTCGCCACTGCGCCCCACTCATGCTTAAATCACACTTATTTTTGTGGGTAAAAAAGGCAGAGAAAGTTTATAATGTTGTAACAAATAGAGAGTCTGCCAATGAACTGGGCTGCCAGTTGTCAGAAATCCTTGCCAAACATATTAGAGCAGCTTGCAACTTCATTTCCCTTGAGTTTGCCCCATTTATCTGCCACTGTTGCCCCCACTGCTGTACAATTCCCTGAAGCTCACTGCACTCCAGACTCTTCCAGATTTCAGCTAAACATCTGCTCATTGCAGCCAACTTACAGAGAAGCGAAGAGGAGGAGAGGCGGCAAAGGCATGTCACCTCAACACCGGTTCGCTTTAACACAAGGCTGATCAAACCGAATTGATCAACCTCGGATACCTAAGAGTTAACCATTAGTTATCCGTAATAGCTAACTATTACGGACTGGTGTGTAGTCTGCAGGTGTGCAATGTAACAATTTGCAGGTATTGAACTAAAAACAAACACACTTCTATCCAGTCATTCAGTCAGATCTCACCTTTCTTCAGCTGGATGTTGAAGCTGCGTCCTCTTTTCTTTAGGTAGGAGCTGTTGGACGGAGTCGTGCTTATTCTGCGCTGCAGGGAGGGGGAAGGCGCTGAGGGGGTCCTGGAGATTATGGGGTGAGGTACGGCATGGGGTAAGGTAGCAAACCGCCGACTTGGTTCTGGGGTGCTTCCTGCCAGAGGACCTTGGTGACTGCAGGTGAAAACCATTAAACAATTTCTAGTGAATTATTGATCAAAGGAAAGGAAAACTTTTCAACAAAGATGTGGAAAACCAAGGTGACGAGGCTAATGTTCACATTTCTCATCTGGTTGCGGTTGAAATGTGTCCATTGTGTAAAGCTTATGTTGTAAAATATTTAGACTTAGAACCAGATTTAACAGATTTAATATGAAATAAATGAATAATTAGTTCATACAGATTACATGAGTGGCTTGGGAATATCAGTCAATTGCACTAAGAGTTTTATGCAAAACAGGAAATTGAACTGTGAGGTTTTGCTTTAAACTGTAGTTGTCTCAGGAATTTCCTTATTTTATTTTTCTGTTTGTTTCTCTGATCGGTCCTCTGCAGTGTCTGTTCAGCTGCCACTTTTTTCTGTACTTCACTTATTAAATGTTCAGAAACGAAAACCAGCATCTTTATGATCATTTCTGAAGCTCTCGTCTCTACAGCCTATACTGAAAACAATTATTTTGTGTGCAATAAAGTAGGACACCATTGATTTTCCTGTATAAAGCAGACCCAGAGGACTCAACATTTAAAGTGTTTCTGATCAAAGTACCTAAAAGTAAAGTATTTAACAGTGTTCACTTAACCTGCTATAAAGTTCTTGCTTTGTACAACATTTTACTTTTATATCAGACAGTAACTCCAAACAGAAACACTACGCGTGTTTCGGTTCCACCATGTTTCTCATGTGGATAATCATCGTCTTCTCAGAAAATGACCGTCAAATGACCATAAAATGAAAATGTTATGATGGTTACATGATTCATTAAACACAGTTTGTCTAAAGTACAGAGGCATTTTTGAGATCGGAGCCATTAGTGTCAGCCTCTGGGACAGACTGGACCTGGATTTACATTAAAACGAAAACGTTGAGAGAGTTAACAGCTGCTGGGAAAATATTAAGTACATTTAACCCCTGAACTAGCCTTTCAAACAAGATGTCTCAGGTTGAAAACAGGACTTTTCTGTTTTAACATAGCACATTTTAACTTTGATGGATTTTGTATTAAGACTATTATTGTATTGTATAGACTGTATTGGAGAGTCGATAACTGTTGCAATGAAATCTGCAATAATTCATCGAAATTAGATCTACAGAGAGTGTATTGAGCATTTTTTATTAGAGTTTTGTATTTAATTCCATTCTGGATGTCACACTTATGTGTTAAGGCAGAGTGTAAGACTCACTCGTGGTTGGCGGCCGCTTGTTCCCCAGATCTGGATGGCGTCCCTGAGTCCAGACTCGACCGGTCCCCTGGGTGCTGGTAGTCTTGGCTGAAGCGGACTCTGGTTGACTGGGGTGAACTGAGCTCGTTCTGGACCGATAGTATTTCATACTGTCTCTTCATGGAGGCAGGAACCACATGGAAAAGGATGACCGGGCAACGCATCGCCTGCCTGAAAATGTTCTGAGCTCTGGAAGAAGAGGAAGACAGAAATACATTAACTTTAACAAGATAAGAGGTACTGTTGGGCTTTGCTGATATATAGAGATATATAGAGAAAGCTGCAGTGTGTTGCATGTTGAAGAGTGATGCAGAGAGTTGAGAGTAGCACAGCTAATCACGGGGGGAACTTTATATAGCAGTAGAAGACAGACATTACATTATCTGTAATAACCAGCATCAGCACATGCTGGGTGAAGAGTGCATCAGTGATGAATGATTACCCAGAATTCCCTCTGTTCAAAGTTCACTCGAATGAGAGTCCCACTTTATAATCTGCGTGCGTCTCTGAGTTGAGGGGACATGCTTTGGCTCAACAAACCAGAGAAGATGAATTGTGCATGGCGGAGGATGTGCAGAAAATAAAACCACCGAGTAAGCAAGCACAAATTGTTCTCTGCAAACAAAATATAACAATAAAAGCACACAGGTGGTCACAAAGCATGATCAGTGAGATAAGTCAAATGAGTTCAGACGGAATCTCAGTTTTACACACAGAGGTAACCGTCTTGTCAGGTTTATCAGTCAATTCCTGCTGCAGGGTGTCTGCAAGTTTCAGCAAGTCAAATTTAAGAATTTTTAAGACCTTTTTAATGCCACCTTGATAGAAATTTAAGACAAAAAAAATAGATGTTGCGGATGGTTGGGAGATCCTGCTGTATTACAATCAAGATTAGCATAAATTATGAAAATTCTGGGGGCGTTTGTGGCTCTTGGTGGTGGTTTTGTGCAGCTCACACTGAATATGGTTTTCTACATTGTGTCTAACTTAAACATTTCTTGCACAGCATGCATTGTATGAGTTGGTAACGAAAGTGAGTCAGTAGCAAAAATGAACATTGACCAATCAACTGGTGATAAATTTGCACTTACCCATGCTAGATGCAAAATAGAAAAGCTAGTTAGTTCGCTAGCTAGCAAGAGTATATCAGCAACCAGACAGACTAAATGCCACGACAAACATTCAGCCCTATGATTAACGCATTTGAGGTCAACTCACATTTTTAAAAATAAATTCAAGACATTTTAAGGCATTCATTTTAGATATATGAAATTAAGACTTTTTAAGGATGAATTGTCACCCTGTTTATTCACAGCCCTTTATGGAAGAGTGGGAAGAAGGAAGACTTTTGAAATAAAGCAAAAACCTCACTTTTAAAGTTTGACAATAGCCTTGTAAGAGACAAAGCAAGCAAAGAACAAAATTTAATGTTTAATTTCAACTCTAACAAATAATCCTATTTATTTTTGGTTTTGGTCGTGTTTTGTTTTGGATATTTAAAATATATTCCACTTCCAGAGTCAAGTGTTCTCTACAAAATTAAAATGTGTTGCTTTTGAAAGGGCATTACTACGTCATTATCAATATATATTACTTGACAATGATCTCAAAAAAACAATATTATTGTCTATAGCAATAATTAGTGGGAAATCATGCGGCAAAACGTCTATGTACGGCGCACGTACGATTTTTATGTGTAAAAAAAATGGGAATGTATCATTTTTCATTCGATTTCATGTTCAAAACTTTTGTGTGTGTATATCACATAAAATCCTTTGATTCAGAGACTGAATGATGGGTTATTTTGTGTTTGTAAAATCCTTAAACTTCTGTGGATGGATGGATGGTTATCAGAATAACTGAGTAAGGTTCATTGGATTTGATTGTACTATTTTTAAAAGGTAGTTGGCTTGCATTGGGAAAGTTATTGGTTCAATTCCAGGTTTTGTTATGTGACAGACAGATGTTCCCTTGGGCAAGACACATAGCTTGATGATTTGTGTATGAGTTTGTGAAAATTATGACCCTTACTATAAAAACATTCTCAGTGGTTGATGTGACTAGAAAAGCTCTATTTAACAATCTGTTTATCATTTTAAATAAATAGGCATTTCAGGTTACAGCATCATAAAACACAAAAATGTTGAGCAAGGCAGCTTAGGAAAGAGCCAAGCATTGGCACAGAGGGCCAGAAGCATAATTTGATGACTGAATGCAGATATTTAGACCTCCCATAATCTCAGCAACACCATACCTAACCTGCCGTAATTACAAGTGCTTAAAAATGCTTTGAGTTCTTTATTCATGCAATGTCACAAAGGCAAACGCCTGAATGCAGCACCAAAGCCTCTTCTGCAGGATTTGGACTCTCTCACGTCTTTATTCTTATGGTAATTTACAAAAATCAGTCACAAACTCACACTGAGTGCTGATGGCTGGATAAGTAGGTGTGTGCCTGCGTGTGCGAGTAACGCATGTGTTTATATCCAAATGTTCCCACACGCTCATATACGCTACTGACGCTCCAGCAATCAACCTCTGCGCGAGCCTGATTGAATAATAAATTACCCCCATCAATGCATCATTACATTCAGTTAGATTAAGCTCCTCAAAATATTTACCCATGCAAAACAATCCAAGAAGATTAGACTATCACTTTAAATTGTCACTCTCTGTGGAACACAATCATGACAGAGCGGGGAGGGGCAGACGGAGCAGGGCAGGGAAGTTTAGCTCCATTATCTCGTTTTCATGCAGAATCACCCAAAACAAGGGCATGTCGGTGATTGGATGGGACCCTGAGTAACATGAGTGTCTTGTGGATTTGGTTTATTTAAGCCTCTTTCACAGTAGAGCAAGTCTGGAAGGACTAACAATAGTGCTGAACATTTTGTAGAACCACCTTTCACTGCAATTACAGCTGAATGTCTGTTGGGTTATGTCACTACCAACTTTGAACTGCTTAGTAGCACAATCTGCCAAATTGTTTGTGTTCAGTCAAATTGTGAAAACACCAATTTCCAAATCCACCAAAGAGTTCTAGATGGAATTTAAGTTTGTATATTAACTAAGGATGTGTTCAAAAAGTAGGCAAATGCGACCAAAATGCAATTTTTTTCCAAATTTGCGACTTTTTCACAATAGTCTGAACGGCTCAATTCTGATGTTTTCATCCAAAAAACATAGAATAAAATCAGATTTGTGTCATTTCCATATGTAGAGCTAAATCTCAGTTTTCTGGAGTCTGAACAATCATGTCATAGTTTGTCTGACTTTTATTGTCGTTGACGTAAAAAGCCAGATGTGGTAAATCTGGACGTAAACAATGGCTGAACATTATAATTCTGAACTTCTGGAAGAAGTCTGTGTCACTGTTGCACATCACAGACCACCGGCCCCTGGTCTGACCATGTATCCTAACAAACAGCTCTATAGAAGTCGCAGTCAGTGCTCCACAAAAGTTCACTGCTACTAGTTGTACGTTCTTTCTAAGATCCTCCTGTATTTAGCTCCCCTTCAACTCTAAGCAGTTTATCCGTTTCTCTTGGTAACACAGTGTATTATTTTGTTGACAGCAACTTCAGTTTCTTCACCTTATTCCACATGGAAAACTTTAATGGAGAGTTTTTAAGGCTTCCTTTCAGTAAGGCCATTCTTCGTACCACTCTTCCATAAAGGTGTCTTCAGACAGTCTTGGTCTATAATCTTAGTAGTGTTCCAGTTGTTATGAATATTCTCTTTCTGTACAATTAAAAATTCTAAAATCTCCTACACCTTAGCCTTCATTAGACAAAAATCAGTTCCTCTGGTTTCTGAAAAGAAATAGAGAAGAAGGGAACCCCAAGGACGCCGAGCACCTCGGTGTCATTGAATCCGTGTGTCAGCACAAGTTTAAGTATGTGAGTCCACACATTCAGCCTCGTGAGTGAGAGCGAAGGTGGCTTTGGGTAAATGGAAGTGGAGGAGTGCCAGACTTATATCTTCCTCCCACTTTAGGAAATGAAGGGCAGCAATGAATCGCTGGAAATGGATCCAGAGGAGAACGCGGGCGGTGTTAGATCAGAGGCCAAAGCAGCGCCGAGGCACCGCAGGTCAACGAGAGCCATTACAGCGGGTCCAACAAGTCGGCAATATCTCCAGCTGTACCACAGGCTTTGCATTCTGCAGCTCGACAGCGATGCGGTTCACTCACCAGCTACAAATGATAATAATGAAGGTGTGTGTTTAAACATCTGAAGGCACAACAGCGCTGATAAAACAGGGGAGGGAGGGAGTGTTCGGAACTCGACAATTAAGAGGTCGCGAGCGCCAATTAAAGCCAGTGAGCATTTGTCTTGTGTGCTGCTGCACTAAATGCGTGCTATGCCCATCGCTATCAGCAGCTTACTGTTCGAAGCGCAGGTTGCGAATGTCTCCCTGATTAATCCTGACGATGCAGTCGTTTTCCTGGAAGAGACGCTCGTGCTCAGCTTTTCCTCCGGGCTCCAAACGCTTCACCAGCAAGCCCTGAGTCCTGCAAATGAGCATATTACAGATTAGTACCTAATGGACATCCTTTAAATATTAAGAGGGGAGAAAAAAAAAAAACTACAGAGATTATAAAATGCAAGTCAACAGATTTTGCAGCTGAATCAAAATGTCAGGGTAATAGCACACACAAGTCAAAACGTTAATTAGTTAAAGGTATGTAATGGAGATTTTCAACATTTTTAGACAAATGTATGTCTTAATAGCAGAAAGTACTGCAGGTTTTTGAGTTTGTGAATTATTATTATAATTATGAAACTTATCTTTAATGCCGGACTGAATTTTTTCTAAAGAACTTTGATGTATTTTATTGGGATTTTTTGAGTGCGGGTTTTTGGAGTGAGTGAAGCTGAATCAGCATTTTGTAGCACAACGATCAGCTGTGAAAACGGCTTCAGGTGTTTTAGGTTACGTCTGTACCATGATAGACTCAGACATTGAATTCTTCACCCTGTTTTCACCCCACCTCTTTGTTGTTAAGGCAAAAAAAAGACTATTTTCTGAAGGTGATCATTTTTAACACATATCTTACACTCTATGCTTAAGCTATGTGCTTAATAATCAAACATTTGCCCAATTTGATCTCTGGTTGGATGTATATGTTTGTTGTTTTGCTGGAAGGTCAAGTTTTACCTCTGTGTCACGTCTCCTGCAGCATCAAACAGGTTTTCTTCCATGATTGTTCTGTTTTCAGCTCACCTCCATTTTCCCATCTACTCTTAACGGCCTCTTTGTTCCTTCAGTTTGAAAGTGTGACTCTGCCACCACCATGTTTTACAGTGGAGAAACAAGTTCGGTTTGATGCTGTGTGTTCATTTCACACATCATACAGAGCAGTTAGCATGCAGGCTGAAAAGTTTAGCACTTTATTGTGGGCGATCAGAGTAAAGAGATCAGAATACAAAATGCAGGAAATGTTTTTAATAAGTTAAAAAAAAAATATTGAATTTCTGTTCCTCTTCTCAACTATGCACTTTGTGTCAGTAGATCACGTAACATCTAAAAAAAAAAAGGTAATTTTTGTTGTAATGGGACACAATGAAAAAAGTAAGGGTTTTGAATATGCAAATAGACTAACAAGGATACTTTTAGCCCTACTTATTGACAGAAAAATTATACATTTCATATTTTAGGCTCGAATAAAATTTTATCGACATCTGGAAAGACGCTGCAGCTGGAACTTGATTCTCAGCTCCTGTCTGACTTTTCCTTTGCACATTCTTTATGTGTGTGCAAGTCTGAGAGAGTGACGGGCAGGTTTGTCTGAAATAATCCAAACCACAAACTAGGAGATCATCTTTGGCTTTGAGGGAAATGTTACAGCTTCCTTCCCTGGAGCTTAAAGGCAAGAAGCTCGCAGTGTGAACTAAATACCCAGAGAGTTTTACTGCAGCGCCATCTCAGCAATCCCTTCAAAAAACAAAAAAAAAGAGAGACCTTTACCTTCAAATACTTCCTCCTTTTATTGCTCTTGGAATAAATACATCTGTCTGCACCTTTGGGCTTTTTCTGGGCTCTACTGATAACTCCAGCTAATGTGAAATTGACTGGAAGGCCTGAGGTTCTTTTATCTTTGTTTTGTTCTAAGGATGTCTTTCGATTAAACCGAAGATTGATAAAATACCAGGTGAAAAACAATGACGCATTCATCTAAAAAAAAAAAAAAGTAATCAACTAACGCTGCTGTGAACCTTCGGACAATTCGGCATTGTTTCAGTTGCGAGCCCGGTTCACGGTGGACGTCAAGTGTAGATTTAAAGAGCTCTTTAGCATTTGAGTCAAACAGGACTACTTTCAGAACATTACAGTAATTGACTGCATAACGTGGACATCCACGCTCACGCCACAGACTCGTCTCAGCCGATCAGCGGGGGGTAAGCAGTTCAGCCATAAATTGAAACGAGGATCAACCAATGGCCTGGCGCCTCTCTCTCCCCTCCTCTTAGCCTTAAGGTGCCGCATCATCTTAAGGCTGCTGCGCTCCGAGTAATTGCGGGAACCGTTGAGACAGAGATGACTTTGCTTTATTTCCAGGCTATCGGCTTGGAAAGAAAAAGAGTTGCCCTGTAGAAAAATTACAGCGTGGACGCACTCAAGATGACTGTTGATCTGATAACAGGGAGTTTTAAGTCGATCGGCGATCGGTATTCAAAGCTGCAGCAGGCGACGGCGGGGATAAAGCAGCATCTTGTAGAGATTTATGGAAGATGATTTCATGTAAGCACTGCTATTGTGTTGACTGTGTAACGCAGAATGTACATTGTGGCAATTCCTTCACATCTCTGTGGTTTTTTTTATAATCTCATCAGTGATTTTCAGAAACGTCCACAGTAAATTTGAACAAAGTCTTAGAAGCTTGAGCTGTTTCCACTGAAAATCTCACCTTAAAATGTCTCAATCTGCATCAAGCGTCTGTGCTAGAAGGCCAAGTTTCCCTATTTGCGTCTGTGTCTCTTACTAATCTCCATTGCTGTGTGTACATCTTACTACTGCTAGGCCCCACTTCCAAGACAATATGAATCTGTGTCTAACAACAACAGCAACTCACGTTTTACATCGTCTCGCGGATCGGCAGTAATCTGAAGGAGGCCACCTGCTCTCATCAACTGCCGTTAATCAAATAATACTCCAATCAAGATCATTTCTGCACGGCAATTATGTCCTCTATTTGTTTACAATCGAAACTGGTCATGGAATTAGAAGTTCATTAGGCACAAAATTTGTCTGGAAGAGGAGTGCGGGTTTGTGTAAAGCAACGATTTATGTGTGTGAATGTCTGACGGCTTGCATAGGGAAAGACAGACGGCTTGTGGGGAAAACAACTCCACAGGTCCATATTTCTCACAAAGTGATTGGATGTAAGTTCATTTTCAGGTAAGGATCGGATGCGTGTGTGTGTGTGTGTATAAGAGAGATACTGTCAGCTGGAGTGACAGAGTCTCTAAGCTCTCTCCTGCAGCTGTCTGCCCCCCCACCCACCACCCCGGATCTCGCTTTATGTCGGTGCAGTGGAGCAGAATGTGGACAGCCGACGCTGGAGTGCCCACAGTTCCTTGTTTGTTGCCTGTCTGTTTTATTTTTTTTCGTTCTTTTTGTTTTCCCCGCTTGCTGTCTGACCCCTCTGGCCCTGGTCTAGACACTAATGACAGCCCACTGAGCTTAATGCCTCCTGTCCTAGCATACAGCAAACAGGAAAGAACTGGGCCAGTCCATTAGCATCAACCCACTGGCTAGACGAAAGTCTTATTATGGCTGAAATTAATTGAAGTCTGTGGTGGCTATTAGTATCAAGCTAAAGCTGATGGAAAGGAGACCGATACAATGACTTTACTGGAATACAAGGGGAGCTATGAGGGATAATTAGTCTGTCAAGGTGGATATGGACTTTATTCAAGCAATATTGCTCACGATTTTGAACGCTTCTATTTTTAAACGCGGGTTATCCGCCCTTTCTGGCCGAGAGAAACTCCAAGTGTCAGAGCTGCGGGGTGAGTTAGCAAGAAGTCAGAGCTAAATATAGCTTTCTGACACTAATAAACAGCAACAAGATTACTGTCTCCAGTGCTCAATGACAGCCAATGTCCCCCGCCCCACCTCTTCAGATGTCCTCCCAGTTCTTCCCCATGCCCTGTCTTTGCCCCTCGTCCTTCTTCCCCAGTGCTGAGTGGCCACATTCACCTTGGAGGTGGGCCAGTCTGTTGGCATTCAGCAGGGGTCTGTGTTTTACACAGGCTTTTAGTTTGATTACATCTGGACACTTTCTTGTGTCCTTTAGATTTTTTTTTTATTTTTTTTTTTAAGGAAAAACCATAAACTGAAATTCATTCCTTTTCACCCCCGCTCTTTTTATAAGCAACACTCATCAGTTAAAAGTTAGGTAAAAGAAAATGGCTGGAATCACTTTTGATGCAGTTGTGACAGGAAACAGGGGTTTAAAGTACGACTTTCGACAACTTCAGAAAGATGCAGTGATGGACATAAACCTGCTTGCACTTTATTTTTCATCTAGTCATGTTCTTAGGCTTATCGAACTAAACAATAAATCAATTAATCATGTGATAACTAAAAACGAGTTCTTTTTTTTTTATTTGAGTGATTTATCATTATTCTATGTTCTTACCAAAATTGGTCTTCAGTATTTGTCTCAATTATCCCTTTTTTGAAAGACAATTTTGTTTACTGAGATTTTATAATTAATTGTATTTATTGTTTTGGTTGTCTTGTTCATTTGCTCTGCGATAATTAATAGCTAAATTAATTAGGACGAAATTGAAACATTACTTTACATTACTCTCAGTTTCTCAGTTAGGACTCTTTTGATTATGTCTTACTCTCAGTTTCAAGCAATCGGAATGCGAGGTGAGTAAATCTTTGTCAGTGCAGACAGAAAGTCTGCATAATGTAGCATGAGATTATTTAATGGTGTTATTATGTCATTGCTGAAATATCTGATTACCAATAGCATAATTTCCATTGTTTCAACATTTCTAAGAGTTTTTACTGAAGATCAAACTTCATCTCAGTACCTTCCTAAAAATAAAGGCCTAAGTAATATTTGGCCAAAAGTTTTTTTTTTTTTTTTTTTTTTTTAATTTGCAAGTTATCTTTTGGCAAAAAGAGAAGTGACATACAAAAGTGTGACAGAGACACACTTGTTGTCATTAGAAGCAGTGAATTTTCAAGTTATAAAATAATTGTAAACCTGCTGTGTCAATCTGCTCATACTATGTACGTATGTCTGCATACATGTACATGTTTATATATTTATCCAACTATACATCACTTCTGCAATAATTACCAAAATAAATCTTCTGTCAATGTGACACTACAATTAAACCTGATTCTGATTCCAATAGCATTACCATGAACATGCTGTTTTCACAGACTTATCCTTGAATTAACATACAAAGGACACATTGACAAAGGAATTCAATAAAAACAGATGAAAAAAAACAGGCAATGAATGAATTAATGAATGAAAAAAAAACATTAAAATGTATATATATTATTTTTTTTTACCTAACGTCATGTGAACTGAAAGAAACTACGTGGATCCCCAGGGGCCCTCCTTCATTGGACACTTCGACCGGCTTGAGCATGCTTCTGGAGGACGTTGACGGATGACAAGAACAAACAGGGGGGAGGAGACATGCATGAATAAAAATAACAAGGGTGACAAGGAAAAGCAACAAAAAAAAAAAAGCAGTTTGTGTAAAAGGGAAATACAGTCCAACATGACAAAAGCTTGATGGCAGGGACGAGGATGGAAAATTGCTCTGCTTTGTTGGTCGGACCTGTATTGTGTTGCCTATACAAAGTCATCCATTACAAAGTCTGACAAGTGGACCTCGGGGTCAATTAGAGATCCAAATGGAGACTCCAATTAAGTGATTAAGATCAGACTGCTAAGAGAGAGCGGATTAATTGAAAACATGTAAGGGAAGGGAGGACGGGTTGGAGGAGAAGGTTAATTTGAGCAGATAAAGACGTGAAGACAAATGAACATGAGCCACCATCAATGCAGATCGGTAGGATGCGTCTCATGAAAGAACACCTTGGCATTTGATGCCAAGGTGTTTGAAATTAAATGGTGCGCTTTTCCACCTCGTACCAAATAAAGAAGTTGTGCAAAGCTTTGTAAAAGTCTTCACACCCTTTCATTATTTTTTCACATTTAGTCACACCACAAGCACAAACTGCAGAGTCCTAATATACCTGAAAAGTTAGTATTTAGACTTAGAGTCAAGATGTTGTGGTAGTGTCACTTACTGTAATTGCAGCTGTAAGTCTTTTGATTATGTCTCAATCAGCTTTGCACAACTTGACATTTAAAATTATACCCATTTTCATTCATGTCTGTACTTTGACTAGGCCATTCTAAAAACTAAAGATGCTTTGATGTAAACCACTCTATCACAGCTCTGGCTTTATTGTTAGGGTTACTTTGGAAGCCTTTTCAGCTTCTACAGTTTGTTTTGTTTCCCCAGGATTGTCCTATTTCCATCCATCATCCAATCAACACCAAATGAGTTATAGCATTTTTCAGCAGTTGCTTTCTTTTGCCATTCTTGCCATAAATAAATAGCTATTTATTTAGTTATTGCAAAATAAATAGCTGTCCTGTTGATAGATTTTCCCATCGTTGGATATCTGAAACTCATCCAGAGTTACTATGAACGTATATGCTGCTTCTCAGTTTAGGTGGGCGGCCTTGTTTTCGTAAGTATGTAGTTGTGCTATACTTTACTCATTTTGGAAGGTAGATTGAACAGTGATCAGTGATGTTAAAAAGCCAGAAAAATATGCATTATGTTCCTTCGACTGCAAAATTACACACTTTGTGTTAGTCTATTACTAAATCCTTTACTAGGATATATGAATGTGTGGCTGCAATGTAGCAAAATGTGAAAAAACTAAGGGGTATAGGTTCATTTTCAACAGTTTACCACATATCATGTCCACATATCTGTGAAGCTTGGAAAATAGGAGGTTCATGTTACTAAAACTTTAAGCTGGTGAGCCAGCGCAGGTTCTAAGTTTGTCAGTAGGGCCACTCACTCAAGACTTAACACAGGTGAACGGTCCAGTGAAGAGTCGGCCCTCCCTACAGGCTCGATTCGCTCAATCCTCCTTTCGTATTTTCTTTGCTCTGCTTCTTCCTCCTCCTAAAGAAAAGAGAGAGGGAAAAAATATTTAAAAAACGTCACTATCATGCCTTTATCGTTTAATGCCTCCCAAGTCTCTAGAAAATTAGTGCCTACATGCTTAATCAGTTTGAGTTCAGGGCATATTGGATGCTCCAGTATAACCAGTTATAAATGCCACCATTGACTGCAGTAGTACAGACCAGAGCCGCTCAGGTTTGATCAGTTCCATCTGAGTGGCACCGATACCAGTCTTTGAAGTGATTCGATCGAGGTCTAGAGCCAAAGGAAAGTGTTGTTGACCGTTTCTCTCGAGCTCGTCGTTCCAGTAACTCCTCGTCCTTCAGGGCCATTAGGCAGGCGGTGGCTTTTCCAGGCAGGCCAGACAACTGACGACTTAACTAGGCACTAGGATAAGACGACAGCTTCATGTTCCCCTAATGAGGGATAAAAATCTTCATTTAAGCTCTCTTTATGGAGATGCTACCAATTGAGCCTTGCACTCACACGAGGTCGTGCGAGTTGTATCGTCTTCCACCCAACAGAACCGGAAGACGCATCAAATAACAGAGTTCGTTTCCACTAATCAGCTGCTGACTCTCTCATCAACAGCTAACAAGCTCAACGTGCAGCACATTTTCTTCCTTTTCATTCCACTTTCTGCCTCCAGCTGGGTTAGGGACTGCAGATAGTTGAATGTGTGTGAGCAACATCCAGGGAGTACGTTGTCTCCGTGGGGTGGGGGGAGACGCTTTGTTAGCCACTGCTATTTGCCCACCCTCACCCTTCACCTTTCGCTTTTTCCTCCCCCCCAAAAACCTCTCTTTTACTGAAATGTCAAGCAGATCCAAATAGGTCCGGCGCCTTTCTGCTTTCTTTATGGAAATACATTCAAACCTTTTCATTGACGAGGATATCTTAGCAGACACTCATAGGTGCCACAGTGAAACTCTGTCTTCCATTTATTTATTACAGTCTGCTGGTGAGAAGAAAGGGAGAGGGCATGAAAATTTCATCAGCCGCACACCTTAAAAGACCTCGTCCTGCCGGTCCTGTCTACCTCCTTTCTCTAACCATCCGATATGAAAATGAGTCAGTCAGCCGGTGACCCCTGCCTTTAATTACATGTCAGCTAAGGTTGCGGGTGTCTCAAAGGGCCCGTTATCCACAAAGCTTTTTTTTTTTATTTATGAAAATACCTCCTGCCCCCAGGCGAAAGGATAGATTTTATTTTTTTCTTCCTCAAAGTAAACTTCTTATACCACCTTTAGTAATTGATACATAAATATGGGAGGAAAGAGACTCAAAGTAGAAAAGCCTCCTACAAAAGAATAAATGCAGCATGAATAGTGCATAAAGTAAAAAAGAAAAAGAGGTAAAAGAGCAGAGAATACATTGAGAGTGTGAAAACTGATTGTGGAAAAAAAACAACCAAAAAAAAATACAGAATTAGATAAAAACAAGGGAAATAGTTGCTGTTTCAGGGCGGATAAAGCCAAGCTGATTTGCAGGGCACATGTAATTACTTCATTGCAACATGTTGCATCAATTTTAGCTGCTAGTTTACAAGAACACGTTGCAAGTGTTTATGCTGGTGTTTTGTTCTGCACAAATGCAAGAAAGAAACAAAAAACAACAACAACTAGAAATGTGCAATGACAAACAGTCGGGTTGGGGTTAGATGGTTATTACAATTCCACTCAATAGTTATTCCCACCTTGTGTTCGCATGTCATATACACAATTGGCAAATCTGACCCATTTCTGATATTTTGAAGACCCACATGAAACTTTTTATATCTTTGAAGTTGTAAATTGTCCACAGAGAAGTCTGAATGTGGTTGTGTTTAATTTATGAACAACAAAAAAAAAGGAAAAAAAAAAAAGGATTTTGGCAAAAATTTGGAAGTGAACTACAAACAAACACAAACACACAAATCACTTAACTAGTTTTTAGTAAACCCAACTTATGTTGAATATAAATCGTAATAAATGGAACAACATTCTTGCTCTTTAAAATAGCTGCAGAACTCCTCACACTGTGGCTCTAAAAAAATACTGCAGAAGCCATATTATTTGTGATCAGAGGAGTGACAGGCAATTTATATCTGGAGCCAGCCCCCCCTTTCTGACTGTCCTTGAGTCAGTGGCAAAGTTCAGCACTGAGTGACAGTAGAGGAAAGACACAAGCTAAACACACATCTCCCTCCCAATTTATTCTCACTTTATGCTCTCTTTCTTCATCTCCTCATCACTCTGAATCCCCTCTTCCATCCCCCCGTCTCTAAAACCCATCCACTTCCTCCTCCCCTGAGTGCTTTTAGCACCCTGTTGATCCTTTGGTAACCAGTGAAGTGGGGATGCAACAAGGCTTTTCAACTCTCCTGCTGCTCTTTCCCTAGCTTGCCCTCTTGCTGCATCCATCTGTCCCTCCTCCAATTTTTTCCTCTTTCTCTCTCTCTCCTACGCTTATGGCAGCGAAGATTCAAATCCCGGAAGGTGGAAGGAGACTCCAGCAGAACCAGAAACAGATGCTTCCAAATAATATTAAGAACTTCACTAAGGCATATTACAAGGTTAATTCATTTACCTGTCATTTTGAAAGACACACAAAAAGAAGTGATGACAAACTGACGTACAAGATATGATGCACGGTTTAATGAATCTTCTAACATCAGATCTCTGTGAAAACAAAGGTTCTGTTTAGAGGCCAGAAAACAACATGGAATAGTCCAACCTGCTACGAAAAGAGAACTGACATTTCTTCACCAGGTGGAGAGTTGGTGTTATAATATGAATAAATAAATAAATAAATAAATAAATAAATAAATAAATAAATAAAATGGGATGGTGACTTTAAGAAAAAAGTAATGTTCCTGGTCATGATGCCACAGAACACAGTGAATTCCACAACATCATCAATATTCACACATTATGCTGAATCGGGGCAGGTGCTTCAAATACATCACACGGCATAAAGCTTCATAAGATCTTCTTAATTTCTACTGATACTAAAGTATAGTTTATAGATGATTTTTTTAAAACCATAACACCAGTAAACATGGGAGCATGGGAAACTGTAGTTGCATTTCTGTTATAAATGTCCTTAAATTTTTTGTTGTTATTCTGCTGATGTCAAAAACCCCCCACAATTTTTGAGGTGTTAACATTAAGTAAGAAACGATGCTCACATGTAAATGAGCTTGTTGGTGCAATAAGTCATTAAAAATAATGGCAACGGTGGATGTAAATGGTTACATGATTTATGTTCATGGCCATGGTGCTAGCGCTCATCATCTATCAGCCATCAGAGGAGACATCTGTGTCTTATCCAGGTGTTGGAGCAACACATGAATAAGTTATGCTTAGGAGCGGCTACGTATGCGGTGTTTTGGGGAAATTGTAGCCGACGATTTTACAAAAGAAATATGGATTCAACACGTTTGAATGACAACATTTACGAACATTTAGGAACTGCGATGCTGTGAGATCTAGTGGAGCCAGCTACACATTGTCCACAAAAAATAGATAAAACATTATCCTACTACCACTTCCTGTCATTGTCTTTGCTGTTTTCGCCAGTAGTAACATCTGGCTGTTGATCACTTGACTTGTGCGATGTGGAAAAAGTGTTTCTATTGCCGTTTTACAAAATACATCTATTTCGATACGGCTGAAAAATCACCTCATCCAAGCGAAAACAGCAAGGGTTTTCACAATTGCCGTGTTTCCATGAAGCAAATTTATTTTTGTAATTTCAATTAGCTCAATTCTATAGTTAATGGAAACGCAACTTGTGACAGTAGTTTTAACTAATTACACCTCATACTCCCTATAACACATTTCTCCCTTTACATTTGTACATGATGCTACTCTTCAGTGTCTGTACATCAGGAATGAATAGAAGGTCGTGCAAGAAGCATCAGATACTTGTACAGAAATGTATGCTCGCATGTAGCCTATATCAGGAAGGAAGCCAAAAAAAGAGAAAAAGAATTAAATCAACCATGAACAATGTTGACACTAACACTTGGTTTTCAGATTTTTATTTTTTTTACATGCAATATTAGAAACAACAGAAAAAAAAGAAACTAAAAAAGAAACTGTAGCCATATAAAGGAGAGGCAGCTGTTAAGTGCAGAACCTTGTTACCTTCAAATAAACCGGCAGGTTGGAGACTGTTGAGGGAACTAAAAGGAACAGAGAGAGGTAGCAGCTGTTTGGTTGGGAGACTGGGGAGATACTCTACACACACGCACAGCCACGCACACACACACACACACACACACACACACACACGCACACACAGCTTTTAAAGGCTAAGGTAAAGGCAGAGTGTTGAGGAGCTGTCATTCCCCATCACCAACTACCCCCTTAAAGTCCTACTGTAACCATAAATGTGTGTGTGTGTGTGTGTGTGTGTGTGTGTGTGTGCGCGCATGCACACACATAGGCAGGTACAACATGTTGCTGTGGGGAGAAATAGGTGGAGGGGGGAGGAGGGTTTCTCCTGAGCCCATCTTTGACGTCTGAGGCTAACAAGGACAGGTTCAAAGGTCAGACTGAATAGTGTTGTTGGGCTCCGATCTGGGGCCCACATCTGTGTGACAGCTTTATATGTGGAACAGACATTTCCTCCCATACACAACAACAACGAGTGCTTTGTTTCTACAGCAATTTCTACCTGAGCTGAACATCTAATAATATCTCAACATGGAATAAGTCTCTTTTTTTATTATTTACTTTTTGAGCAAGTCCAGAATGTTATTTGTCCCGCAAAAGTAAACAGTCCCGCATTTATGAAAGCAGACGTCTGAACTGCTTGAACTACAGAGCGCTAATTACGGAAAAAACGTACGCCCCTTATGGCAACATTCAACCGGCCAAAGGTAACAGTTTTTTTTTTTTTTTTTTTTTTTACATGTTGTTGGCAACATGTAGTAGAAAGATTATGTTTGCAGTGAGGCCGAGTCCAAGAAAAAGTAGACGCTGAGGTTCTTCCTGTCGCTAAAAAAAGAAAGA